TATAAGTGCTGGTATACATATATATACATATATACGTATACGAGGCCCCTCCATTCCAAGCTAGAGCCAAAGTATCTCCGGCTAGCTGCGAATGCGAATCCATTTCAATAATTTGCCGTCGAGGGGCCGCCGCCGCCGCCGCTTATGAAGCAATGCTTAGAAAATGATTATAAATTTATTTTTCCCCCTCGTTTTTTGCATTGCATTTCCCATTATCGTGTTGCCTGCTCGCTGTATTTGTTGTCGTTCTTGTTGTTGTTGTTGTCGCTGGCTTTTGTTTTTGTTCTGCTTCAATAATAATTTTGACCCACTTCTGCGCTCGACTTGACTTTTTATTGTACTGAAATTAAGTATTTTTGTTGTACTTATTTTGTTTTTCTTCTTCTTTTTTTTTTTTTGAGGGCAACACAAACACTCGCTCCGTATAATAATTGTACATATTCTTGGCGGCAAATATTTTTCAAGACTTGGCTAATTGCCGCTGCCCGCGTCGCCAGTTGGCTGAACTGCATTTGTTGTAAATATTATACATATATAAATATAAATATATATTATTATTATTATTGTTATTTTTATTTTCCCTGATTGTTGTTTGTAATTTTAGTCGTGTTGACGTCACTGTGCGTTGTTCTTGTTGTTTATGCATTTTTCGCAAGCGCTTTTCAAAAGCCTTAAGTGGGGTACTTAAAGCCTGTGATGCATTTTGCAACGCCTCAGTGGACAATACGTAAAGTGGAATCAATCGAACCCGTTGAAATGCTAACAACACAAGCTGAAAGCTGGCATTCAAATATTGAATGGAAAGCAAGAATGAAAATCCATAAAAAATACAAACGTGATAAAATGTAGGAAAGCAGAACTTTTATTAATTTAATTAACTTGTTTTTGTAAAGAAACATATTTTTTTTTAATATATGATGTAAATTAATGAACGCAATCAATTGCAGCGCATTTTCACAAGACCCTACTTCGAGTCATTGAAATGATTTCAACACACTTATGAGTACTCAAAGTGATATTCAGTGTGCATTAAACAGCACAAAAAATAAAAGTATTTCTATTAAAATAATTACCAATAAACCTTTTGGCTGCGCGCCCAGTTTAAGTTGTTTGCCTTTTGTTTTTCAGTTCGATCAAAGAGCCGAATTCCAAAGTTCTTGTGGCCAGAGGCTATTGAAAAGTCACAGTCGAAGTGCATGCAAGTTTCGGTGCGTCATTGTTGCTGTTGTTGTTGTTATAGTTGTTGTTATTGTTATTGTTGCAACGGTAAACTCGTTTGTAAATTATTTTTACAAATTTTTTTTCTTCGCGCTCTGCAATTTTCTCATATTGTTTGTTTTTGCAATAAAGTACAACAATAATAACAACACGGGCTAAAAGCAATGCAGCCGCCTGGCCATACGGTAGCTGATGCCGTTGCTGTTGTTGCTGTTGTTATTGTTGTTAATGCTGTTGGTGTTGTTGTTATTGTTAATCATGGCAATTACAGCAACAAACAACATGCCTGGCCAATTGGCGCTTACACGCTTTCATTAAGCAACAGCCCGCGAGCTGCTGCAGAAACAGCTGCGTTGCTCATGCGGCGGCGGGGGGGCTGGGCGGCCAGCAGGGGTTGGGCTGGAGTTTGCGGGGTCTCGGATCTGGAGACCGGCCGGTCTATTCAGTCTAGCGTTGAAAATTAGCACTGACGCAACGCGTTCGCCTCTTAAATTGACATTTACGCGATAATTACGCGCTTATTATATTTATTACCAGTTTTTTCCGCATTTAATTCTTTCTATTTTTTTTCCAGTTTGATTTTATTTAATTTTTTTCTCTGCCGTTTTATTTCATTGTACTTTTTTTACTTTATTTAGTTTTTTTTTTGTGCACTGCGTTCTTTGTCTGGTGCTTGGGGCACGTCATTCAGCTGAATTGCAGCGCTGTGTTCTGTGTAATAGCTGCCGGAAGGGGACAGGGTTGGTGTGGGTAGGAGGTAGTTTGGAGGGGGGCAAGAAACCTTGAAACTAGAGAGCTGTCAGCTTTGTCGAGGAGTCTATTAAGCCCCAGATAGCAATAGACTCCATACGAAACATGTTTTTAATGTAACTACGTCATTTGAACGTTGACTAAAGTGCGATTAGCAAATTGCTGGGTGTATCCAAAGAATCGAAAGGCCAAAAGGCCAAAACAGCGTGCAGATCATACGTATTGGAGTTACGCAAATTAAACAATGGCTGCATTTAAGCCTAAAATGTATTCGAAGATTTAATAAAAATATTAGCTAAGAACAAAAGAAAAACAAGTTTATCGATGGATTATATTGTGGTTAAGTAGGTAACATATATAGCTGATGCCATAATGAAGTGAATGTGTGTTTGTATGTTTATTACAACGATTGGGCCCACGCTTGTGTGGCTAAGCCCCCCACAACTTTGACTGAATCGAAAGCAAATATTAATTAATAGCTGATTTGTTTACAATAGCAATTATCAATAGAGGGGAAAATAAAAGAAAAATGCTAAACGAATTTGTTTACATATTCTGTTTACGTGAACTAACAGAGCAGACGCAACTTCAGCGATGTAAATTAATAAAGAAAAAAATAACTTAAAAACAGCATTCACAATAATAAAAACACGCGTACGTAAGCGAGAAAAGCACATTTCAGATTAGCAGCACTCAGGGAGAGGGGTGCAGGCAGATGATCGGGGTAGCAAAATATTACGTCGCATTACGTGTTGGAACACGCGTGGCAATCGTTTGATTAGTGTGTGTGTGTGTGTGTGCGGTGTGTGCAAGGTGAGCGGGTTTCTTTTTGCTGTGTGTATGGAAGTGTTGTTATCATTACACGAGTACATTCAAATGAGAGTGAGTGAGAGAGACCCACAGAGTGGGAGTGAGATAGGAAGGGGAATAGCAAGAGGGCAGAGAATGGGAGGAGAGCTGCGCATATCAAAACACCGCATGGCATGAAGACGACGACAAAATGGCGACGACAGATAGAACCCATAACCCATACATAACTAGAGCGTGTGTGCAAGCGTATGTGTGTGTGTGTGTGTGGCTGTATTTGCCTATCTGTGCGCGAAATAAACACTTCCGCATTCGAGTTCGAATTCAATGAAACAATAACAACATCAGCAGCAGCAGCAGCAGCAGCAGCAGCAGCAGCGGCAGCGGGAACAACATCAACTGGACGGCATGTGCGTCGAGAGCTGTAAGATAAATGCGACCGGCAAAAAGTCAACGCTGAGCCTCTCGCTGCCCCCTTTGGACCACTCTCTTCACTCAACAAGCAAGCACTCCCCCTTTGGAGAATTGGGTGGGTGCTGCGAGTCTCTCTCTCTCTCTCTCCCTTTCTCTCTCGCATTGTATGTAAGTAATTAAATTAAACTGGCGCAGCGCCTCGCGCTGAACTCAATTGAATTTTATTTGAATTTTATTACAGACATTGTCGGCTGCTGCTGCGACTGCTGCGACTGCTCTTGGCGCATTGCAGTTTATATTATTATTGTTGTTGTTGCTGTTGTTCGGTTTTTTGTTGCTGGTTTTAGTTTTAGTTTTTTGATTACGACGCAATTGAGTGGCCTCCCTGCACGAGGTTTCAAGCCACAGCCCAGTTACCGAGAGCATGACGTGCTGAATTCTCTTTGGTTTTTTTTTTTTTATTTTATTTTTGTTCGCTTTTGCCTTTTTATTTTGATTATTATTGTTATTACTTTTATTATCAATTGAGAACGTGGCCGGCATTTTGTTTTCCTTTTTGTTTTTTTTTTTTTATTTTGTTTTCGCTATTTATTTATTGTTTTATTTATTTTTTGCCGCCCGGCACACTTGCCGCTGCGCGTTTGTTGTTTTTGCACACTTGACTAATAGTTTGCCGTGCGGCGGCGCGCGAGGCTTATCAATTGAAATTGAAATGAAATACGCCACAACAATCAGACAGCTATTAATTTCAATGCGAAATTCGCATGCCCTACGTGAAGCAGGAGATAAATAATTTTGAAAATTTTTTAAATAATTGTTTACCCATTTCTTTTTTCTAAACGAAGCCAAGCATATAAGCAGTATAAGGCTGATTTGATGTTATATTTTTGTATTACATATTAGTTTTTTTTTTAATTTTTTAAATTTAAATAAAAATGTAAAACATGCCTACAAAAACAGCAGTTTATGCGGATTACTTTGAAGAGTATCTAACATAATCGAAGCAATGTGACTATAACACGCAAAAGCAGTCCAGATATCGCGCGACTATTTGACGTCGTAATCAAATGTTATTGTCGTCTCTTAGACTTCGACGTCGTCGCCGTCGTCGTCGTCGTCGTCGTCGCGTCTGAGCGGTCAGTAATTGAAAATTTGAATTATTTTGCAATCAGTTGCCGTCGTTGTCCCGGCGAAACATTTCGCAAAGCAAATGAACGTAGTCACCGCCGCTGTCTCGTCACCGAACGTTGGCGCGAGGGGACAAAATTGGGCGATGGCCGCTTTATATAAGTGTAATTGCAGCCACGGACGGCGTCTATGCTAAATAGCCGGGCGGTGTCTAGCCGGTTGTGCTTAGATAAGACCAACAAAACAACCAACGAATCGAGTATGGGCCGACACACATTATTAGCAGGAATATAACAGAACAGACTGTATCTGTCCGTGACTTGGCGGCTTGTTCCGCTAATTTGTCGCCGCTTATGAATTATTGATATAGCCTAGACTCCATCGACGCCAGGGTTGCATATTTATGCAAAGTGCTCGATCGCCAATTCGAAAAACCAAAACAAACGACAAATATAAACAGCTCGGCGAAAGAACACCCTATAAACTATCCAAACGATCTATGTAACATACATAATTGTTTTATAATTGGCAATAAATTAATTTATGTGAAAATGCGTTTATTCTAAGTATATATGCATTGATTATTATCTGCCTCACTGTCACTTGATAAGGAAAATCTAGAGTTTGTTTATTGGTGCGAGGGTATGTTGAACGGGCATTCAAATCTAATCTGGTTTACTCACTTGTTCGGCGGCGTCAGTGGCGTCAATGGCACCTCAATACTGTGTGTGGTACGACGGCGGTCGCCTCCCATGTCGGCCAGGCGAGCAAAGTCCGTGTCGCGATCCTGATCGGCCAGACGAGCCGAGCGCCGTGACTCCAGCAGGCGCACTTCCTCCAAACGCTTCTTCAGCTCGATGGGTTCCTGGTAAATGATAATTGTGAATGAAAGAAAATGCAGTTAGTAAATAGTTTTAATTGTGCTAGTAAATTGTACAAATATTCAATCAGAATTGTTTATCGCTCTTCTAAGTAATTTTCTATCGCATCGGCTGCTGGGTTTTTTGCCTTTTTTTTGTGTCTCGCAACAGATACTCGACTCGGTACAAAGTAAAGCCGCATTTGTGAATCATTTGCTTTTAATCGTTGGCGAGCATCGTACAATTTAAATTGTTTTGCCTTTAGTTAATAATTATTTGCTGTCATCAATTATATATGCGATACAAAAAAAAAAAGCTCATTTTTTATGGGTCCATTTAATGCCATATCGATGGCATTTTCCCAGAAAACTTCAGTCACGCTAAAGCTAAACACAAAATGTAACCGTCAAAGGGTTTTTATTGTCATCATAGAACACAAATTTTCCGAGAAGCAGCAAACACATGTTCAGCTAATCAATCTACAAATTTAACTAGACATAAGCAGGGAAATTAACAAGCAAATAGCTAGTTTAATTCCCATGTGCCAATTGAGTGTATTGAGGCAAAAGTATCTGAGGCTTAAGTATCTGGCGGTGGACATACATATAGATATTCATTTAAATAGTAGGCTCGTTCCCAGGCTGGCGTAAAAGAACGCCCTTGAAAATTAGCCAATGGGTGCGCGGCGGGGAGTGGGGCCTAATGGGGTCAGTCGGTTATGCGGCACGCCCCAAAAGCACATTCGCGTGCTCTACGATAGAGCAAATAGTATACTTATTATTATATCTATACTTTTATTTATCTTTTTTTTTGCGCTGTCGCCTTTCACATTTTCGCATCTATTATAAGCCGTGCACACACACACACACACACACACACACACACACACACCTTCCACACACGGCTGCATGGATGGGGTGCATCTGTAGTATTTGTATCTTTATGTAATCACCTTTTTGATTTGCAGCGGCAGCCTTCGAAATGTGAATTTTTACACAATTCTCTTGGCTGGCAGCGGCTATTTTTCAGAAAGCACTTCTAACAATTGATTATGACAAACATCTGTATTTAGTTATTTCAAGTATTTGTATTTGTATTTAATTTTATTTTATTTAATTTTTGCTATTTATTTATAAATTTTTGCCTTTGGCTGCTGCTGTTGCTGTTGCAATTGCAGTCGCTAGCGGCACGGCCAATGCCTGGCCTATAAATATGAGATATTTAGATATATGCAATATTGCAGCCGATACATATATTCACAAATTTATATGTAGCTGATAGATTAGATTGGATATAGAAGTGTATTTAATGTGTCACTTATTAATTGTAATACGCCCGCAACAAGTTTTTTAATGCCAAATTGGAGCGAACGCACTTGGTTGATTTTTTTTTTTTTTTTTGGTCTGCTGTTGTTTTTGTGTTAATTGAGCACAAAACGCCGGCCGGCGACGTCAACAGCGGTAGCCGGGCAAATGCGTCAGCGGGGCGCGTATCTTACAGATACAAGGCAAACACACACACACACACACGCACACACACTCGGCGAGGAAGATACACACGCACACGCGCTGCGGCGGCAGTCAAGAATTCGTTGACGTCGTTGTGAGTTTTATTTTTAATTATTTAAATATTTGGTTGTTTTTATTTTGTGCTTTTTATTATTTTTTATTTGCGCCAATGTCTCGCCTGCTGCTGCTGCTGAATTTGGGCTACTAGGCTTCGTTCATAATTTTGTATATTTGTATTCTGTTGGCACTCTTTCTCTTAGGCTCGCGCGCTTTAGCCTTTTCACTTAACTTGGCCAAAACACACAAAACTTCACTTGCACTTTTTCTTTTTCGTCGGTTGGCTTCAAGTTTCACACGCTTTCGAAAATTTTGCTGGCCTGCTGTTGGGCTTGGGCTTCAGTTGCTGTTGTTATGCAGTTTCGGACTCTTGACTTTGTCTTTGCTTTACTTGGGTTTTTTCTTTTTAAATATATTTTAATATTTGTTTGTTGTTTGCTGTGGTTGGTTGTCTGCTGCTCTTGGACTGGTGCGATACGTTCGCGCGCGCATTCAAGAATGATTCTGTGCGGCGCTCGCTGGCCGTTGCCGGGTTCGCTGCCGGAGCCGCTGCCGCTTCGGCTCGGCGCTTGACGCTCGGCGGCGCTCGTTGAGTTCGGCTTGCACTCGGCGGCGGCTCTCTAGGTACTTTTGCGCTCTTTCGTTCGCAATTTTTTTCCGGTCGCACTCACAGATACAGATACAGATACATGTTGGGTGAGCTACTTGTGACGTTTGTTTTTGTTTCTATGCTTTGTGCTGCCTTTTCGCATGCTTTGGTCGTTGCCGCCGCAGCCGCCGCCGCCGCAGTCAGCCGCTTGTGCCGTTTGTTTATGTATCTCCAATGAGCGCGTATTCGTGTATCTGTATCTGTTGATGTATTTGTGTATCTCTGCAACAATTGCACTCGCACTCTCACTACGGCCAGCCTGCCAGTTCCTGCCCCAGTTGCCAACCAATTCGGACTCTCACTGCGCCGTCGCGCGCTCTCTTCGAGTGCAACTCAAATTGGCAAACGAAAAAAACTCACTCGAGTTTTTTACGTAAGCACAAATAGAAAAATAAAAAGATATTGTATCTGCTTGCACTGAGTAACCAACCGCCCGCAGGTAGCTGCATTCAGCTCACTTTATATAATGTTTACCTGTTGTCTGTCTGTCTGTTGGCTGACTTTAACGGCTCGTTCTATGCCTTTGTTGTTTGCCCGGCTCAAATCAGGCTCTGACCAGGCATCGCAGCTCGCCGCGGAACGTACAAAAGGCCGTGTTGAAGCATTTGCCGATCGCGTTGTTCACTTTGATTTAAGAGCAATTAGCTTTGACTTAAGAGAAATATTTTTCTTGTTTATGACGCGCCGGCCGCTGACGATAATGACGATGTTGTTGTTGATGACGATGATGATGATCATGATGATGAAGGTGATAATTAAGCCAACGCAAAGGCGAATGCGAGTGCGGACGCTGACGCTTGGCTAGCATTGATGACGAAACAAATGCCGCCGTCCCATCCGCTGATTTCAAAGTTTATTGTTTTTGTTTTTTGTTTGTTTTTTTTTTTTTTTGTTGTTGCTGGCTTACCTTTGGGCTGAGCTCATGCTGGGTTTTTTACACAGAGCGAGGGGATTTCTAGAGCTTTACGTCTTAATGCCAACCGATTTATGCAGTGTTTATGACACATTTAATGCCAGCTGATGGAATAGTAGACCAAACGATGTTTCGCTTGGATAGTATGCTTCAGAATGTGATTATGGCTGCATTTTATGTTATTTTTTATCATCTAGCTCTAGTTGAGCTTTATTAATTAGACATTTTAATATTATGACTATTTATACTCACGTAATAAAAGATACTTTTGTTAAGTTAATTTAAAGTGAAATTTTCAAAGTTACTGGTAAACTTTATCGTTTTGCTCTACTATCTTTGCCTTAACAAAATGTATAATCCTTTTAAATAAATAGCCATAGTAGATTATGCCTATTTATATGGTGCCAAATATAAATATTAGATTAGTTTTGGCTTATCAGCGGCCTAATTCCAATTGTTTTGTTCAGATTTTGGACTATGGAACTTTTGTTGACAAGCTGCCCACAAAATCCACTTTGAGCTTCAAGTCCGACAATATCCAACCCCATATCAAGTTGATAGTGAAAGTGAAAACTTGTTGCTCCACTTTTATTTAGCTTGTAAACCTAGACCCTAAGCCCAAAAATTGCCACTATTGTTGTATGTGGTTGAGCATAGCACAGAATTTGACAATGTGGCTGTCGACTGCGATAGACAAAGAAACCAAAATTATTGGACGAGGGTCGTATGTACTTTTATGTGCATGTTCTATGTTGTGTGTGTGTGTGTGTGTGTGTGTGTGTGTGTGTGTGTGTGGGTTCGCATTGCTGATATGCTGCTGCTGTGGCTGCCGATAATAGGCTACATTTGCGGCGAGATAGCGCTTATCAGCCCTAACGGCTATTCACACGAGTACGACGAGACGCGACGCGGTGCTGACTTATGCTTTGGGTACGGACGGCTAAAACCGCACAGAACACGCCCAGTTAGTAAATAAGCGAATGCAGTCTGGGAATACCGCTGGTCACATGTGAGTGTGTAAGTGTGTCTGCTGATAGCGCCATTCGCGATAAGTTTTCGACAACAAAACATTTGCGGCCGTGGGCTCGCTTAGGACAAGGCCAAGCGGTCAATTGTTGTAGGCCACAGTAAAAAAATATTTAAAAAAAATAGGGAAAAAATATACGGCTACGCGTCAAAGCAATTATGTAGCGTAAATAAACAAACAATTGAATGCTTTAGCAATTGTTGTTTTTGCCTATGTATCCATCAGATACGATGATTAATTGCAGTAGCGCATGCGCATACTTTGTCAGTTGTCACACTCCAAACATGTGTATGTATGTGTTAACGCAACAGTATGACGCCCATCGTCATGATGATATAGATCATCATCATCATCATCATCGAGAAGACGCGTGTCAATTCCCAATTTCGTAGCTGTTCGCGATCTGTGCGAGCCTTCTTGAAATGCGCTAAACGTGTGCCGAACACATGAGCTGCATGCATAATCGTACCGCAAATGAGATATGATTATGTATGAGTGTGCTCGTAAATACTTTTTAGGGGCAACACTTTGCATATTGATTGCATCTCACTTGCGTTTTGGCCAGCAGCAAATGTGAATTGAGTATTGCCTGACAATTGCGAAATATGATATCAAATTCAATTAATTAATGAGCACAACACAAATTAGGTCGACAGAAATTTCAAGGAATCGTGACGATTCGAAGCAGTGAAGAATTTTCAAAATAAAATACATTATTTAATTCTGTCTCTCAAATAAATTAATTATACAACTTACAACCATTTCAGAATTTAATTTTGTGGGCGCTTAATAAATAGCGAGTAATAAGTAACGAGTAGTTAAAAGCGAGTAAGTAACGACTGCTAGTAGAG